ACCCTTCCCTACCCCTCCCCATTTACTCCTCTTAAATACATTACATATAATGTGAAATATATGGTAAAATAAAATTTTAAAGGACTTGCTTTATTCTGAAGTCCAGTTTTTAGCATCCACATCTTAAGTGGAGTTTGGTATTTAATATAATATCTTTTATTTATTCTTGGACAATTTCATATAAGCATACAATGAACTTGGTTTGTATTCACTCTATTATTCCCCAACTCCAATTCCTTACAGACCTTCCACATCTTTCTACACACATCCTCCTCTCAACTTCATATCTCCTTTTTTAAAAGAATTCAGAGTCCAATCAGAGCTGCCCATATGACTATGCATATGGGTCAATCTACTAAAGCATAGCCAACCTACCAGATACCATACATACAATTAAAGAAAATTGATCTCCCTCCTTTAGCAACTAACAACTGTGAGTAAAATCTCAACGATGGTCAGGGCCACATGAAGCCCTCTTACCTCCATTTTAACTGGTTGTGATTCCATCAGTGCAACGAGCGTGTCAAATCTAGAAGACACTGTTTCATCCCAGTCCTCCCTGACCTCTGATACTTACAATTTTTCTGCCACCTCTTCCAGGATTTTCCATGAGCTTTGACAGTGGGAGGGTGTCATCTTTATGGCTGAACACTCCACAAACATTTGCTTTCTGCACTTTGACCAGTAGTCTCTGTTTTAACTGTTTTCCACTGTACAAACATGTTTCTCTGATAAGGGATGAGAGCTACACTTTTCTATGGGCTTCAATATACATACTGAGAAGGCAATTTGGTGATATGCCTATTTTGCAAAATAATAGTTCTTTTCTAGCCTATGATCTCCCAGCCATGGGTTCTTTGCCATATTTGCAATACCAGGCCTGGGTTCCTCGTGTGAAATAAGTCTTAAATATAATCAGAAAGCTATTGGTTAGCCCTAAAAACATTCATACCACTACTACACCAATGGGCACATCTTTCCAGGCTGGTTGTTACTGTAGCACTCAGAGTCCACAGCTGGGTTAAGACTTGATTTTTGCATTGTGGCCCTGCAACATTGTGAAAATCATCTCTCTTACATTCTAAAACACTGGAACTTTTGCTGGACCTCACAGACAAAGTTAATATTACACACTGAGGTCACTTAAGACTTAAAGCTGCTATCCTATTGTGTACTCAGCTTGTTTGTCTAACCTGCCTTTAAGAAAATGATGTCACAATCTACCTTACTTGTCTTGTATTTCCCATTTAAATCAACTTTTACAACCTAAGGTAATGCATAGTGACTACCATACTCAACTTTTTAAATGAGGGTACTGGGATCAAAAGCAGGTTTTCATCCTTGCAAGCAAGCACTTTACTAACTGAAACATCTCCTCAGCCCCTAAATCCCTACATTTTAAAAGGCCTTATTATTTTTGTGTATGTGGGTTTATATAAGCACAAGTGTACAAGCATCCTCTGAGGTGAAAGGAGGGCATCAGATCCCCTTGAGCTGGAGTCACCCAAAATGGGGGATGTGAAACAAACTCAGGTGCTCTGGAAGAGCAGCCGGTAATCTTAGCTGATGAGTCATCTCTCCAGCCCCATGATGCATTGCATTTTGTTATTAATAACATAATTGACAGACAGCAAAAAGCTATTATCTGTCAGCCAGCCCCATAAAATTTTTATTTTATTATTATAATCTTATTTTTAACAAGATTGCAGCACATTTTGGTAACATACAAATTATTGTGGGGTTCTGTAAACCAAATGCGATGTTTTCAATTCAATCTGTAAATGTTTTCATGCTAAAGTACAAAGCATTATTAAATTTTACCTTGAAGGACCGGCAAGATAACTCATTGGTAAAGGCAACTGCTGCCTGTAGATGCAAGCTAGACAATCCGAGTTCAATCCTTGGGACCCACATAAACGTGAAAGGAGAAGTGACTCCATCCACAAAGATGCCCTTTGACCTCTACCTATATGCTATGATACAGTCACACACACAATGGTAATAATTTTTTAATTAAAAAATAGCTTTAAGCTGGGCGTGGTGGCACACAACTTTAATCCCAGCAGAGACAGGTGAATTTCTGTGAGTTTGAGACCAGTCTGGTCGACATATTGCATTCCAGGACAGCCAGCACTATTATAGTGAGACCCTGTCTCAAAAAAAAATCAGCTTTAAGCTATTGGCCTGAAGCAGAAATAGTAACAAATTATTCTCATCAAAATAGTGAAAAATGTGTCAGTGAGATGGGAAGGCAGACAAAAGTGCTAACTACCAAGCCTGATGACCTGAGGTTAATCCCCAGGACTCATGAATCATATGGGGAAAGGTAAGAATTGACTCCCAAAAGTTGTCTGTCCTCTCCATATGCAGACTGTGGTACACATGCATACACACAAAATTTAAATGTAATAAAAATATTTTAAATATGGAAGATATTGTATTACAAACCATTACTGTCCTCCAGAACTAATTCTTTGCATCTTTCTCATCTTATACAAAAGATGAATGAGTGAGTGAATCATAGTGCTAAAAGATTATTTCAGAATTTTCTTTGTAAAGTTAAGTACTTTATTACAAGTTAACGTTTTATAAAATATCAGCAGCAACAACAAGCAATTATACTCCTGGGGTTTTTATTTTTTGTTTTTAAAGACTGAGAGCCTTTAAAAGTTGGAAAGGTCAGCTGTATCTAAACTGTTATTTTAAAATTGGTTTAAATTAGTTAGAATAGAAAGTAGTGCAGCCTTTATGGAATTATCAATGTTAAAAAAAATAAACCATAGGAATAGATCTGCCATATAATCAAGCAACACCACTACTAGGTTTAGACCCAAAAGAAATGAAAACAGTACCTGAAAGAGACATCTGCTTATGAATATGTTTTGCAGAATTATTCACAATAGCCAGACGAATGGATAAGGAAATGTGATATATACTGGAATATTATTTGGCCATAAAAAGAACAAAATTATATTCTTTGCACATGGATACAACCAGAGGACATTATGTTAAGAGAAATTGATCAAGCACAGGAAAAACAAATACCAAGTGTTCTCTTTCTTTTATATATGGAAGCTAAAAAGTTGACCTCATTCATGTAATGTATTGTGGTTACGAGAGCTTTAGAAGAGGAGATTGCAGGTAGGATCATTAGCTGGATAGGAAGAATAACTATCATGTCCCATAGCATAACAGGTTAGCTATTAATGACACATATATATCAAAATAACTAGAAAAGTAGGATTTTGAATGTTTCCAACACAGAAAGAGTAACTTTCTGAGGAGGCTGATATGCCAATTGCCCTCGTCTGATCATTGCACACTGTATACATGCATTGTAATACTGTAATTATGTATCATAATGTCTCAACTGAAAGAGAATATATTTAAAAAGAAACAAAACGAATAATGATTCTTATAGTAAAAGAGGATACCAACTCACTTCTTAGGTAATATTTTTCTTGCTCTAAAATAGAGTATGATCTCAAGCCCCCTAAAACTACAGAAATTTCCTAGTTTGCTTAATGTGCTTACAGATATTTTTTTAAATGTGTCTGTGATCAAGTAGGTTTCACAATAGCAGATATTAGAAAGTGAAGCAGGGTTTTTAATTTAATTTTATTATTTTATATGAATGTTTTGTATAAATGTCTGTGCACCATGTCATGCCATGCCCTTGATGATCAGAAGAGGGCACTGGATCTCCTGGAACTGAAATTAGACCGTTGTGACTAGCTATATGGGTACTGTGGATCAAACCCTGGTCCTCTGAAAGAGCAGCCAGCGCTCTTAAACCCTGATCCATAACTCCAGAACAGCAAAGGAGGGTTTTACAGGTGCTTGCTTTTATCTTTTGTAAGTCACAATGCATTATAATACACCCAAGGAGGGTGTTGTCTGTCCATGCAGTGTTTTTCAGTGTGGCTTGTGAATAAACCTCAGCTAATGGTAGAGGCTGACCTCCCCATTTCTGCCTTCACTATTGATTTTAATATGGGTAAAATAATTTACTTCATCTGCTGAAAAAATAATAACAGAAGCCGGGTGGCAGTGGCGCACGCCTTTAATCCCAGCACTCGGGAGGCAGAGGCAGGTGGATCTCTGTGAGTTCGAGGCCAGCCTGGTCTAGAGAGCGAGATCCAGGACAGGTACCAAAACTACACAGAGAAACCCTGTCTCAAAAAAATAAATTAAATAAAATAATAGAGCCTCCATTCCTCTTATTCAGCTCCCAGACCTGTTTCCAAAATCTTGATGTTTCTTCTTTGTATTTCTTAGGTGTAATAATATTCACGTTCCTAGTGTGTAGGTTTTTTTTTTTTTGGTTTTTTTTTTTTTTTTGGTTTTTCGAGAAAGGGTTTCTCTGCGTAGCTTTGCACCTTTCCTGGAGCTCACTTGGTAGCCCAGGCTGGCCTCAAACTCACAGAGATTCGCCTGGCTCTGCCTCCCGAGTGCTGGGATTAAAGGCGTGCGTCACCTGTTTTTTTAAAAACCAACAGACCACAAAGATCTTCTGAAAAACCAGATCGACTTGACGAGGCTTTCCAGAATTGGCCAATCACAATGACGTCAAAAACTCTGACAATGTATTTGTGCTAAATGCTAACAGCAAAAATCTATGCTTTTGTTTAAGCTTCACTTGCTTTCAAAGGTCATGAAAGACTTAAATAAGATTCTCTCTGCTGTGGTTGAGGGCTGCTTACATTCTCCTACTCCCAGGAGGGGATTGTAAATTAGGCTTGGCTGTGAATAAATTTTACCCTGCAATATCTTGATGTTAGCTCCTGGTTTTTGACACCATAGCACTATTAGGAATTCACTCAAGAAAAAGACAAATGCTTAAATGAATCCAGTCCCTTGCCGTCTATCTAGCACAAGACACCATAACTTTTGAAAAATCAATAATATACCACCCTCATGGACTGCATATTGAAGGAAGACCTAAACAAAAACTAAGAATTTAGAGCTCAGGAATGGTGGCAGCATGCCTATAATCCCAGCGTGTAGGAGGTTGAGATACGAGAATCACAAGCTCAAGACTGGTCTGGACCACAAAGTCAGACCCTGTCTTATATAAAACATAACAATTCCAAGTTTCCTCGGAGGGATACATTACAACCGGAAGACCGATCAAAAGTTCTCCCTTTAAAAGTTCTCACTTATGGCTGACAGACGCGAAGCGAGTTCTAGAACATTCCCATGAAGCAGTAGGGGCCCTCTCGGCTACCGTAACCGGATATCAAGTAACGCGTGACGGAAGTGCCCGGCTCTCTCCCTCGCTTTAGTCGCCATTGCTGTTGCCGCTACTCACGGAGCATCCTCTCAGGCTGCTGAGGTACCGGTTTAAATTGGGACTTGTTTATTTGCTAAAATGGCCTTATCTAAACCTGATGACTTGACTTTAGATGACTGCCAGTGTCTCCTTTGTATGGAATTTCTCATCGAGCCCATAACTCTGCCTTGTAACCACACAGTGTGTAAGTCATGCTTTAAGGCCCTTCTCCGAAAAACATTTTTATCGTGCCCCTTCTGCCGCACCCGGGTCTCTTCATGGGCTCGGTACCATACTCATATAAGTAGTCTTATCAATAAGGAACTGTGGGAAAGAATTCAAGCTCAGTATCCAGAGGAATGCAGTCGTAGGAGCCCTGAGGAGGACAAGTCATGTTTAGTCTTCTATGAGGATCCGCCGCCAGTTCGAGTAATAAGTAATCCCGGGGAATTGAGGAAAGAATATGAAGAGGAGATGATCAGGCTGGAGGCTGAGCGCCAGGCCACCGAGGAAAAACAAAACAGAGCTACTAAGAAATACATAAGGCAGTTATTGGCAAAGGACATGGAGGAGGAAAAAATACGGGCAGAAAAGCGCAGACTGGAAGAACAAAAGCAAAGGGAGGAGGAAGAGGCTAAAAAACTCAGCACGGATGATAAAGCAACATCCCCAAGAAAGAGAAAAAGGAAACAAAAACATTGTGACAACGTCTCAAAATTTTCCCTTCCTTGCTCTCAGCCTGAGTCAGCATCACGGCATGATGCTGTGCAAGATGGTAAGAAAACATCTGTAAAAACTGACAGTGATGGGAAGAGCACTGGCGGACAGGGAAAAAAAACTAAAACAGCTACAAAAGGTCCTGAGATTCCAGACCATGGTGCTATAAGTTCCCATTATGCATTGTGTTACGGCTGTGATGAGAAAGAGGGCACTTCGGGAAATGAGGCAGCAAAACCAAGCTGCTCTAATCACAACTTGTATGTACCACCTAAGAATATTAAAGCAGAAGCTACAGCTCACTCTCCTGCCGAAACAGAGAGTGGAAGCAGTGTATCAGCCATGACAGTGGAAATTGGAAACGGCACAACTGAGGCAAAAGGTAAAATGTCTCACTCTTCGAGCGGTAAACATACTTCTAAAAGAAAGCATGAGAAATCTTCATCTGAAGCAGCCAGTGAGCTTGACACTTACGACCTGCCCTCCAAATCTTCCTCAGATGAAGACGAAATACAAGTCTTAATTACCAAAAAGCTGATAGATTTGGAGAATCTGTATTTTGAGAAGCATCAGCAAGAAGAACAAGATAGACTATTTGCATTGGAGCTTCAAAAAGCATTTGATGAAGAAGGGAAGGAAATGTGGGGTGAAAAGTTCCCAAAGAAAAATCCATACCACTACGATTCCTCCCCTCCAGACACTTCAGCAAAAGGAGAGGGTTCCAAAGATAAGGACATCTGAAAGGTAAAGTAATATAAAGTATTTAAGACCTAAATTAATCACCTTTTTAAAAGATGCAGTTTAAGCATTTAGCTAATGTTAGTGAGGAAAAGATGGCAAATTCTGCTAGAGGATGACAATTGTAAACAAAGTTTTCATTGCCCATTGCCAAGTATTTCACAGAAAAGTGTTTTTCAAGTGTTTTGAGAAGTAGACAAATTAATGCAGGGGTAGGATATTTTGAACCCCTAAAACTACATTGTGAAGTTGTCTTTTCTATGATAGAACCTATAAATGTATCATTAAATATTTGAAATTGTCATTCGATGGGCACACTCTCACTGTCTTTGTTGTTTTGCTATCATTTGAAACAGGGTCTCTTGAGATCCTCCTGCCAGCCTTCTGAGTGCCGTATTTACAGATGTGCATCACTACGTCAACCTGCATTCATCTTTAATGGACCTTATGATTACAGAGAATAGAAATGTGGTTCTGTAAAACTCAAGTCATAAGCAAGGGTGCCTAGCCTTCATGCTATTAATGGTTATTCTGTTGTTAGTAGGGGTGATAACTACGTTTGATAGTTCTTATGGATATAAAATGCCTTGGGAATGCTAGACCTCTTGAAGTCTTTTATCCCCAACTCACTAATTACTTGCTACTCAAACAAACTTGTTAATAGTTTTTTGTTTGTTTGTTTTGTTTTGAATGGAATAAAGATCCAGGTAGATCTCAGTTTAGTTTGAGGCCAGCCTGGTCTACATAGTAAGTTCTAGAGAGCTAGATAATGAGAGCTTGTCTCAGTCAAACCAGACCAGAGAAAACAATAAACTTAAAATAGGATAAAAGGGCTAGAGGTATGAGTTAGTAGAGGTATAGGTTAGTAGTAAAGTGCCCTGAGTTCAATCACTGGTCTGGAAAAAAAAACAGAAAAGAATAGGAAGATAGGAAGTTACTCCAAGAAAGTAACAGCAAAATATTTTATGGTAAGGAACCTGAAATAATTACATTTATTTCCACTTAGTATTCCTTCTGTTGATACTAATTTTTATATGTATTGAGACAAATAGTATCATATTTAGGGGCTGGATTTGGTTGCACTTCCCTGCAGTCCCAGAACCTGGGAGATTGAGACAGGAGAATTACAGTTCAAGTCCAACCTGGGCTCCATGGCAAGATCCTGTCTCAAGAAAGTTTTAAAAAAATAGGAGTTGAGAACTTAGTTCAGAAGTAGCATACTTGACTATAAGGCATTAAGACCCTGGGTTTGGTTCCCAGTACCAAAATATAGGAATAATAAATGTGAGAGTTGTTTTTGAGCTAGTGAAGTATACCTCTAAGTGTTTCCAGAGAGGGTCAGGATGTGGGGCAGTGACTGAAGGAAAAGACCTGCCCAGATGGAAAAAGCTGAAGAAGCCAGAAGACATTAGATTCCAGCATCCACCTGTCAACATGAACCTGACAGTAGCAACTCTCCAGTGAACATCCAGATCTTCAGCACCAGATGGGGACTACCAGAGGCTTCCAGAAGACACCTTTCTGTCTACTGGCTAAGTTTAATTAATATGAACTTTAGCAGACAGTTCTAATGTTTCTAAGAGTCATTTATCCTTTTTGCCTTTCACTTAACATTTTAATAAATTTTAATTAGCTTTATAAACATTGTAGGTTTCCTTATCTTTTTATAAATAGTTTTGGCTGACCCTACTCCCACCCTCTCCTCTCCCTCATCTCCCGGATCCCTATCTCCTCCATCTCCCTGACCTTTACCTCACACACACACACACACACACACACACACACACACTTAAACCCACCCTCAATATTCCCCCTTCCACTTTCATATCAGCTGTTTTAGTGTCCTCCCCACCTTAAAGCTTCATTTCCCTCCCTCTAATGGACCCCTTTCTAGTTTCCAGGCCTCTACATACAGCTACTCCCATACAAATTAACATACATAAAACTTAGAAGCTAGAATTTGTATATGTAGTGTTTGTCTTTTATGTCCTATGGCTAATTGACCTTATATTTGTCAGTTCTTATCTCAATGTGTTATTCTCCAAATTTTGTAATGAGATTGTTAATCTTTATATACTTAATCCTTATATCAATTTTATTGGGCATATATATATATATATAAATTGTAAATATATATATATATATATATATATATATATATATATTCAGTAATACATATATATTGCATAGCTGGGGATTACACCTAGGACCCTGGGAATATTGGTCAGTCACTCCACCACTAAACTCCTAGCCCTTCAGTGCCAATTTCAATTTTGATTTGCCTTTTCTCATAAAAAAGTGTCCTTTGAGCAATGATTGTGGTAAAAATGGTGAGGAATGGGAGATAGGGAAGGCAAGAAATAAGAAATGGAATGTTTCCCTTTAAGTTCCCAGTGGGTGTGATGCCTCCTGCTATTATATTCCTTGAATGCAGCATGCTGTACTTCTCAAGAGTACTTTGCACTCAAACTGCCAGCAGGCCACTTCTGATCTGCTAGACCTTGAGCAAGACACTTAGCCTACATGCACTTCAATTTCCTGAGTGGCAAACCCTATGGTGAGTTACAGATCCTGCCTCACCATGATACTTGAAAGAAATATGATCTCATACAGGTCAAATGCCTTACTAGCACACAAATGCTCCAGAAGCATGAACTGCTGAGGATTTCTTTTGGTATGCTGTGAATGTGTTGCTCTGGTTGATTGATAAATAAAACGCTGATTGGCCCAGCAGGAAGTATAGTATAGGAGGGATAAGCAGAGAGGAGAATTTCACCAGCTGCCGCCACCATGAGAAGCAAGATGTAAAGTACCAGTATGCCACAAGCCACGTGGCAACTTATAGATTAATAGAAATGGGTTAATTTCCTGTGAAGGAGAAGTGGATGAGATCTACATGAGTGGACTGGGTGTGGGGGGTGGCAGAGGGTGAGGAGAGGGGGATGAGAACATAGGGAAATGGGAGGGTCAAGCTGGAACAGGGACAGAGTGGGAGTGCAGGGAGGAAGATACCATGATAGATGAGGACATCATGGGAATAGGAAAAGGGAGGGTGCTGGGGAGGCTCTCAGGAATCTACAAGGTTGACCCCACCTTGGTCTGCTGGCAGTGGTCCAGAAGGTACCTGGACCAGTCTACTCTGGTGACCAGCCTAGCAAATAACCTAGCTGTCATCATAGAGCCCTTGTTCAGTGACTGATGGAGGCAGATACAGAGATCCATGGCCAGGGACCAGGCTGAGCTTCGGGAATCCAACTGATGAGAGAGAGGAGAGATACTGCAGGAGAGGGACATTGAGATCAGTATGGGAGGACGTGCAGAGATGACCAGCCACACTAGTGGAAGCCCATGAACTGTGGTCTGGTGGCTGTGGAGCCCCCATGGGACTGGACTAGGCCTTCTGGACAAAGAAGGCGGTTGTTTGGCTTGAACGGTTTGGGGGGCACCCAGGCAGGGGGATCAGGATCTGTCCCTGGTCTATGGGCAAGCTTCTGGAATCCGGTGCCTGTGCTGTGACACCTTGCACAGCCTTGATGCAGTAGGAAAGGGCTTGGACCTAACTAGGCTCAGTGTGCTGGGCTGTGCTGACTCCCCATGAGAGACCTTGATTAGGGGCATGTGTGGTAGCATGGGAAAGAGGGCTTAGGGGTGGGAGGAGGGAGGAGGGTGGTCCGTGGATAGCATGTGGAGTGAGTAAAAAAATTCTTAAGAAAAATGAAAAAAAAATCACATTCACATTTCCTTAGTTAATTAGTAAGATGCATTTCTTATATTGCTAAGCAGGGCTATAAAAACCCCAGTTGAATAAAAATGGCAAAGTTATTATGAGAATATAAAGTTAGATCTTGATATCACTCATGAAAATCCATGTAACATTTCTAAGAATAACCATAAGATGTATGAAAAGGTTGGAGAAAAGTTTCTTACTGCACAATCCTGGAGCTCCAGCTCTTATTCCACTAATGGCATTATCTAAGACATAATAGTGTCTATAGGCAGAGCTATAACTATGACAGTCAGCTACACTATTACAAAGCTCTCATACTAATATTTCACTCAGTTTAGCCATCCCTCTGCACCCTGTCAATGTGTCCTTGGGCTTCTCAAGTCCTCTCTGAAAGACCAAGCTTCAGAAACATTACTCAGCTTACCTCACACAATACACAACAGGATGTGACCTGGCAACTTACAGAGATAGGATGTCTATGTAAACAGGTGCTTTTCGTCTTCACTAATGAACCACAAGTGGAAACAGAAAAAAATAGAGAGAAAACAGAAGGAAAGTCTACAGGAGGTAAATGAAACACAACTTTTAACTTAAAAGCACTAATTCTCTCTGTGTGGTGATTTCCAAGGAGGAAGAAATAAAGAGAGGAAGTGAGGGAGGCCAAAGAGAGTGGAGGGAGGGCACAAAGTTGCAAAACCTAGGTCCTTGTCTGTGCATGTCCACCTGTGACAGTATCCTGAGCTTCAGAGAGAAGCTAGGTTTGAAATCTGAGTGTAAGAGGCTACTCCATGAGATACACTTTCAATTATCAAGTACATAAAATTGAAAACTGAGTCAAAATTACAATTTCCTCACATCAGGAATATGAAAGATAGGACCACTTATGTGTTTTAAATTGTCCACTAATCTTTAATGGATGTGATATGATGGAATTCATCATGTTGGTTTGTATAAAAGTTTTTGTTCTTGGGCCAGGCAGTGGTGGCACACGCCTTTAATCCCAGCACTTGGGAGGCAGAGGCAGGCGGATCTCTGTGAGTTCGAGGCCTGCCTGGACTACCAAGTGAGTTTCAGAAAAGGCGCAAAGCTACACAGGGAAACCCTGTCTCAAAAAACCAAAAAGTTTTTGTTCTCTTGTTTAAGGACATAAAACTGATGAAATATATATGTGGATCAAACTTAAATCTTATATATAATTACAATATAAGTCAAAGAATAAATTAATATGCTTTTCTCGCTTTAAAAAATGGGTTAATTTAAGATATAAGAACTAGATAGCAAGAAGTCTGCCACAGCCATACAGTTTATAAGTAATATAAGTCTCTGTGTGTTTACTTGGGTCTGAGTGGCTGCGGGCCCCAGTTGGACTAGAAAAATCTCCAGTTACAATTGGCACCCAACAGCTCGAGTTTCCACCTAAAACCTGAGAATACTTAATAAGCAATTCTAAACAGAGCCCAAAACAGATTCCTACTTCTTATCTCATGCGGGCAGCTAGACGCCCAACATGTGGGCTTGAGCTACTCTATGGTGGGTTCACAACGTGCGGGCTTTACCACATGGCAGATTCCAAGTTCACTGCGGGGAGGAAATAGCTTTTGCTAGCAAAAAAACAAACAAACAAACAAACAAAAAAACAAAAAAAAAAACCTGGAGAAAACTCCAGCTACAATGAACAGTTACTGTTTTTAAACCAGATGTATCCTGCCCAGCCATAAAATGGTGTAGCAAGTAAAGGCAAGAAGGAACAAATGGTTCTGTGTTTCCTCATCTACCTCATCCCTGGATACTTGTTTGTGATATTTTCAGATTTAAACCTTCCCACAGTCTTTACAGATGCCATAGACTTCCATGAATTCCTTTATCCCCTTTCCATTTACCCTGTATGAACAATAAAACCTTTAGGAGAAAAGCAAAATACAATAAGCTGGGCAGTGGTGGCACACACCTTTAATTCCAGCACTCAAGAGGCAGAGGCAGAGGCAAGCAGAT